TATGAATATTTTTTTGGGGTGGGGAACAAGAATGGGTGTGATGAGCATTAAGAACTCTAAAAGACACAAGTCCAATCGAAGGCAGTAAAAATATTATCAGTTTAATAATTTACACATAGTTAGGTTTTTGGAGTTTTGCAAGTTTATGAAATTAAGCTGTTTTGTTTTTGACTATGTCTAACACCAGCTGCAATCCTCAGACTACTAGTTTAGAAACAGCGAGGTTTAATTCTGAGTTCCAGCATAATTTTATGTATGTGTAGAATCACATTACCACCTAAATCAATAGGAATTCCTAGTAAGTGTAGAGTTGCAGTCTTAATATGGTCAAGGTCAAGGTAAGTGCTAATATACTGGTGATAAACACACTAACCTTTGAAACTTGCCATGTTATATTGAACTTAAGTATAAAAGCTTACATCTGCAGCCTAGCAACCCAATTCCATGATGTTCTATGAACACAAGATCTATTTTAGTTTTGATCAAACTTTCTCCCACATATGAGCGCTCGGGATTCTTACCTATGTAAAGGAGAACTTGTTAGGAGAAAAGAAGTATAATAGCTTTAGATCTGTTCTTAAGGAAATCAACCCTGAGTGCTCACTGGAAGGACAGGTCCTGAAGCTGAGGCTCTAATACTTTGGCCATCTCATGAGAAGAGAAGACTCCCTGGAAAAGACCCTGATGTTGGGAAAATGTGAAGGCAAGAGGAGAAGGGGAAGACAGAGGACAAGATGGTTGGACAGTGTCATCGAAGCTACGAACATGACTTTGACCAAACTCCGGAAGGCAGTGGAAGACAGGAGGGCCTGGCGTGCTTTAGTCGGACACGACTTAATGACTAAATGAAGAGTCGGTCACGACTTAATGACTAAACAACAAGCTTTAGAATAATGTACAAGACTTAATGACTAAACAACAACAAGCTTTAGAATAATGTACAGCTATAGGGTGACTCTTCTACAGGTGAAAGATTGTTGAGTCCATACTTGCAGGACAAGGATCAACTTGAACCTTCTTCCACAACCATTCACAGAAAGATACTGCTCCAGGGATAAATGTAAATAAGATTATAGAAAGCTATACAGAAACACGATAAAAAGGGTAAAAAAATAATCTTATGACTGCCTCTTCACCCCCTTTACATCACTGAATAACTCAGATGAGAATTTAACAAGAATAATTTCACTTTGAAAGACTACAGTGGCGCTGAAGTAACAATAGGTTTCAAGATGGGTTTTAGAAAAATATGCACTTGTCACAGTATAGTTTTAATTATTCACTAAAGAAACATAGTGGTTGAATAGCTCAAGTCTGGTAACATACACAATACTACCTGGGCTTTTTATGTGAGCACCTATTAGTTCTTCTAAGACTCTGATGTTAATCTCTATAGTAACAAGTAAGTCTGTGACGAAAGGGATGGCATTCTGCCTTGGCTAAAACCGCCACTCACTTTTGATGCTGTTATTCCAAGAAGAAGAAGAAATCCTGAGTGCACTAAACAAATGAAATCGAAACAAATGTTTGAAAATATATATTCAGTCTTTAACACCTTCTCAGACTGATGGAAAATATCGAGTTACATTATATAGAAAAACAAACAAAATACTATATCAAAAGGAAAAATGGAGCAAGTAGATGTCCTATTTTGCATGTGTGTGAGATTAGAGTTATGCTGGTGTTTTGTCCCAGTTTTTTTTTAAATATAATCAGCCAGCTGGCTGACCTCTGCTACTCTGCCAAGCTAGCACAAAAATGAACTTGTGGCCAAGCTGGCTGTTAGGCCCTAACCTCACAGGCTAGCTAGCTGCCACTGAAAACCTATTTTTTTAGCATTTCAGCTCCAGGCAAACTGGCATTATCCAATTCAACAGCAACGATAGGGACGTACAGATCCTCTAGTTCCCATTATTTTCCCCATTTTACAATAATTTCTTATGCCTGGGCTAGGAAAGGAGTGGGCTTTACTCCAACTAAAATCCCAGGGAACTGATCTTGCCACATTTGAATCCGAGGGCGTGTCTACACTAGCTCATTGGAGCTAAATAGGGTCTCTAGAGATCATGAAGAGGTCTGGTATGCATTTCGTGCAATCTTCACATGCAAAAGGCAGATGCACCTCAAGTGACCCTATTTGATCTGGCTGACTTTTTCTGTTGCCAATTTTCCCATGTTGTGAAGTGGCTTAAGACACCCACTTCAAGATTTTGGCAAATTAAACACTTCCTCTGCTCCATGGAGGAGCAGAGGAAATGTTTAATTTCTTCACAAATGATGCAGCATAAATGATGCAGCCCTAATACAGTCTAAAAATTAAATTCCTTTGCTCCTCTGTGGAGCAGAGGAAAGAGAGGTTACTTACCTGTAACTCTGGTTCTTCAAGTGGTCATCTGTGAAGTCATAGAATCATAAAATCATAGAAAAGTGAAGTTGGAAGGGGCCTACAAGGCCATCAAGTCCAACCCCCTGCTCAATGAAGGAATACAATCAAAGCATATCTGCCAGGTGATTATCGAAGTTTTTCTTGAATGCTTCCAGTGTTGGAGAACTCACCAAATCCCCCTGTAACTCTGGTTCTTCAAGTGGTCATCTGTGAAGTCATAGAATCATAAAATCATAGAAAAGTGAAGTTGGAAGGGGCCTACAAGGCCATCAAGTCCAACCCCCTGCTCAATGAAGGAATACAATCAAAGCATATCTGCCAGGTGATTATCGAAGTTTTTCTTGAATGCTTCCAGTGTTGGAGAACTCACCAAATCCCTGTTGTACTGTTCTAACTGTTAGGATGTTTTTTCCTGAAATTCAACTGATGAGCCCATTGTTGTGCATCCTGCACTCGGGGGTGACTGAGAACAGATCCTGCCCCTCCTCTGTATCAGAGTCACTAAAGTATTTGAAAAGTGTTATCATCTCTCCCCTCAGTCCTCTTTTCACAAGGCTAAACATGCCCAAAGTCTTTCCTCATAAGGCTTGGCTTCCAGCCTCCTAATCATCCTTGTTGCCTTCCTCTGAACTTGTTCCAATTTGTTGGCATTCTTCTTGAAGTGTGATGTTTAGAACTGAACACTACTCAATATAAGGCCTTACCAGTGACAAATAGAGGGGAACGAGTACCTCATGAGATTTGGAGACTATACTTTTTTTTAATGCAGTCTAAAAGAGCATTTGCCTTTTTTGTAGCCACATCACACTATTGGCTCATATCCAGCTTGTGATCTACAATGACTCCAAGATCCTTCTCACTTGTAGTATTGCTGAGCCAGGTATCTGTCTTCTTGTAACTGTGTGTTTGGTTTCTTTTTCCTAGGTGCTGTACTTTGTACTTATCCCTGCTGAATTTCATTCTGTTGTTTTCGGCCCAGTGCTCCATCCTATCAAGGTCATTTTGAATTCTGTTTCCGTCTTCTAGGGTATTAGCTATTCTGCCCAATTTTGTATCATCTGCAAATCTGACATACATTCCCAGCACTCCCTCATCCAAGTCATTAATAAAAAATATTGAAGAGTACCAAGCCCAAGATTGAGCCTTGGGGTACCCAACTTGTTACCTCCTCCCAGTTAGAGAAGGACCCATTAATCATCACCCTCTGAGTATGATTCTGTAGCCAATTGTGTACCCACCTGACACTTGAACTATCCAGTCCATACCTTGTTAGCTTGCTAATCAGGATATGATGGAGCACTTTGTCAAAAGCTTTGCTGAAGTCAAAATATATTACATCTATAGCATTCCTTTTGTCTATCAGAGAGGTTACCTGATCAAAAAACGAGACCAAATTAGTTTGGCAGGCTTTGTTCTTGACAAGTCCATGTTGGCTTCTGAATTGAAACAATCGGGTTTTAGTGCACCCGCAGAGAGAATCTCTGAAACTTCTTGAGCTTTTACAGGTGTTTGCTAGGACCTTCCTCCCATCGTGCATGCCCCACCCATGGCACAGAGTGCCTCAGTTCCGTAAAACAGCCTACCGCTGCCCAGCACGCAATAGGCATACCTGATGGACAGAGGGGAGGATGGGCGGGTAAATGTGCTGGAACCTGGCAACCTTAGTGCAGGCAGGATCGGCCCCATCTCTCTGGTGAGAACTGCTCTAAGGATTGCAGGACTGGGCCCCTTCCCTGTAGCTGTTGCCCAGCTCCTCAGGAGTGCCACCTGTGAGCAAACATGGAGTGCCACCTGGGGAAGATGAGGACTGGTCTATATCGGAACAGGCCTTCCCCACAGACTTTTGCCTCATGCTGTGCTGATATTTCTGCCTTGCCTACCAGCCTCCTTGTTTCTGTATTGCCTGGTGATTCCTGCTCTGCCTGCCTTGCCTCTCCTGCATCCCTAGACCCTGCTGCCTTGATATGGTTCCTCCTGTCTTCAACTCCTGGACTGTCTGACCATGATTTGCTTCATCCTTCTACCCGGCTACTGTCTGGACTCAAAACCCCAGCTGGTTGGTCTCTGTTTTGGCTGTGGGGTTGGCTCTACCTTGTTCCTGTAGTTTTGCCCTGGGTCCTATTGTGTCTCCTACCGAAACCTGACAAAATGTGGTAGGCATAGCACCATTCCCACAATTGCATTGCCTGGTAGAAGAGAGAGAGAGAGAGAGAGAGAGAATGTGCTCCTCCCTGTTTGTTTATGCTACACATAAAAACACAAATCATCACAGCACCATTCCCACAGTTGCATTGCCGGGTAGAAGAGAGAGAGAGAGAATGTGCTCCTCCCTGTTTATGTAAAATAAGACTGTAGTGTTGTTGGTAGTTACTTGAACCCTGCATCCTGTGAGAAGGGCTTCAAATGCATGGAAGGCATTGATGACAGTGAGGAGCTCTAAATCAGTGGTTCTTAACCTTTGTTACTCAGATGCTTTTGAACTGCAACTCCCAGAAACCCCAGTCAGCACAGTTGGTGGTGAAGGCTTCTGGGAGCTGCAGTCCAAAACTCCTGAGTAACCCAAGGTTAAGAACCAGTGCTCTAAATGACTGGTATGAAGCCTTGCCACCTCGGGTGACCACAGGCTATGTATGGTTGTGTTTTTGCAGTGGGTCCCCAGCCCATGCAGCAGGTATCTGTGGTGAATTGAATAGAGAGAGAAAGGGTTTTGAAAGGTCTGTCTACACAGAGGTGGTGAACATTGCTTCACCAAGTAAGCTGGGATGCCAGCTCTTTTGTAACTGTGAGAAGTTTAAAGGGATGACCCACCATGGGGTCGAAAAAGGTGAGATACCACACCTGGAGTGATCGTATCTTGAGACGGGCATGTTGAACAACTGTTGTGGTGGACGCCAGATGGGCTGTAACAACTGTGTCGGGTAAGAAAATCATAGGAGAGACTGAAGGCTTGTTTGTCTCTTCTTTGGCAGGAAAACTCGGCCTTGAATGGAGTCGAGTACAGTACTGCTCCCATGTATGTGACCCACTGAAAGGGCTTGAGGATTGATTTCGAGAGGTTGATTTGAAGCCTCACATCTGTTAGAAGGGATAGAGTTAGATTCACATGGCGGTGCACTTTGGTGCAAGACAGAAATACCAGAAGCCTGTCGTCGAAATATGGGAAGGTGGTGATGACTTGGAGGCGGAGATATGCTGCTACTAGAGCGAACCATTTCATAAAGACCCTTGGTACAGTGGACAAGCTGAATGGGAGGGCTTTGAACTCATACGTAGATCCTTGGAAAGTGAACCTGAGGAATCTGCGGTGATCTGGTCGTATGTTTATGTGAAAGTAAGTGTCCTTTAAATCTAGGACAGCAAACAGATTGCCCTATTGGAGTAGTTGGATGGTAGTGTCCAAAGTGACCATACAAAAGTGCTGTGAGGTAATGTAAGAGTTGAGGTGAGGGAGATCTAAGATGGGTTGCAATTCACCATCTTTCTTTGGAACTGCAAAGTAGTGGGAGTAGAACCCTACGATAATGTCTGCATGTTGGACTATAGTGATGTCATCCTTCTTTAGTAGCGAGTATATGTCCTCTTCCAGGGCGGGAGAAGAGGAAGTGTTTTAGAAGAGTCCGCTTGTGGGGAGGCAATCGAATTCTACTGCATATCCTACAACGATGATGGTGAGGGCTCAGGTGTCTGAAGTGATGTGTGCCCGTGTGTGGAGAAAGGGCACCAGCCATGTAATTTAAGTTTCTGGTGCTGGAGAGGGGGTATGGACGCGGAGGGCTGAGGAGTCAAATATTGTGTTTTGTCTTCCTCTCATGTCTATGGACAGACCAATGTGGACACTGTGTTGTGGTTTGTTGTGAAAAGAGAAAGTAGACGGGTTGGAAGGAGGTGGTCGTTGGTGATCCATACTATTGGTAAATATAAGGGCAACGCCAAAACTTTTGTGGGCAGAAGATGTTGAGTATTTTATGATTTTGCAGTTTTTCCCAGTTTTTGAAGGTTGTCTAGTATTTCATCAGTCTTTTCATCAAAAAAAAAAAAAAACCCAAGGCCACTGAAGGGTAGGGTTGAGTATTTTATGATTTTGCAGTTTTTCCCAGTTTTTGAAGGTTGTCTAGTATTTCATCAGTCTTTTCATCAAAACAAAAAAAACAAAAACCCAAGGCCACTGAAGGGTAGATCTTCAATTCTAGATTGTGCATCATCTGATATGCCGGCTGATCTGAGTAATACATGGCAACATAGTATTATGGCTGTAGCCATTTGTTTAAATGCGGCATCTACAGTACCACATGGCTGCAATCCTCTCCTTCCGAGCAAGGGTCATGGCCTCTTGATGGAAGGATAGGCCTCAAGAACGTGTCTTTTCTGAAACAGCCTGGAGAATGGGCAGTGCTTTATTCCAAAGATGGTGGTGGTAGGTTCCCATCACGGCTACCCAAAGGATAAAGGAAGTGAGGGAATAAACACGATGGCCTATGACAATTGTTGGGGGTGGAGGCAGAACGATTTTGAGCTCTATTTTGAGTTGCATCAACAATTAGTGAGTTAGGGAGAGGATGCTTAGAAAGAAAGGTGGTATTGGTACCATGGGTTTTGTAAAGGTTTTCCGCTCTCCTGGGAATCTGAGGAAAGGAAGATTGCTTCTTCTATTATTTTTTAATGAGTTTGAGCACAGAAGAAATGAAGTTGGTACCATGGGTTTTGTAAAGGTTTTCCACTCTCCTGGGAATCTGAGGAACGGAAGATTGCTTCTTTTATTATTTTTTTAATGAGTTTGAGCAGAGAAGAAAAGAAAGCCAGGTGAAGTGGTGCGGTCTGGTCTTGAGTAATGTCCTCTTAGACCTTATCAGACTTCTCTGGTTCTGGTTGGCTAACAGCAAAGTCCATGACCTTAGTGATACAGAGAAACAATTGAGTATAAGATGTGAAGTCCTCTGAGGGAGATGGAGGGTGTTTTTCCACAACATCAGAGTCCGGTGTCAGAATGTCCCCAAGTTTCGATATCAGAATCATCGGTATAGAAACAGACTGGATGTTGGTCTGGAGATGGAAAGAGTTCTCGCCAAGATGATACCGATGGATGATTGGAAGGTTCCTTCAGGAGGTAAAGGATGACGTTTACCTTTTCTTTTTGTCGGGCTTGTGCAGAGCTGATCGTCTCAGAGTGTGGTTGGTGTCAGTACTGAGAGCATCTGGAGGTGTACCTCAATATGTCAGTGACCTGAGGAGTCAATATGAAGGGACATGAAGAGGCCAGTCTTCAAGGAAGAAGACTGAACTTGAGATAAGATTGCTTGGATCCGAGGTGGTCGACTTGATGCCAAAGTTGCATGGCATGGTCGTTTCACTGCCAGGTGATAACTTTCCCAATCAGATGGAAGGGACCTCTTATGATGCCTGGATGGTACCTATGCTGGTGGCAGAGTATGCCATTCATGTTGCAAAGACTGGCATGGGAGGACCTCAGCGTGGTCGACTTGATGCCAAAGTTGCATGGCGTGGTCATTTCGCTGCCGGGTGATATCAGAGCTGGTGGCAGAGTATGCCATTCATATTCCAAAGACTGGCATGGGAGGACCTCAGTCGGTGTCCAGTATTGAGGAGGAGATGGCAATACAGAGGAAGAGTCTGAGCAGTAAACATAGGCATCATGGTGATGAACAGCACAGCATGTCTACAGTACTGAGGATCTGGCTCATACAATCTTGGGTCATAATAGACTTTGGGCTCATAATAAATCAGGATTAGTGTGCTGAGTCTTATGGGTCCTGTTCCAAGGGGGATCTTCCCGTAGCAAGTCCAAGACCAACACTGATGTACGGCCTGAAATAGAGCCAACTTGGATCAAGGGCTCGCCTGCACCAACTGCATGTTCCCGTAGCAAGTCCAAGACCAACACTGAAATAGAGCCAGCTTGGATCAAGGGCTCGCCTGCGCCAATTGCATGATTGCAGTGACCTCAGCCAAGGTCTTCCCCCAGTCAGGAGACTGATTGGCAGTGACCTCAGCCAAGGTATTCCCCCAGCCAGGAGACTGACTAAACTAAGGGTGTGTGTGCGTGTGCAGCGCCGGACAAAGGGAGAGGAGCATCCTCATCCTCAGACAACAAATTGAGACAGATTGTCTCTTGTTGAGATTCTTCCATAGGTGGAGGAGGAGGGTCTGGTTTATGCACAGATAATGAAGCTTGAGAGTGCTTGGCTTTGCGAGACACCGATGAATTATTTTTCTTCTTAGGTGTGTCTGACAGTACCGAGGTCAACTTCAGCATCAACACGCTGGAATGGGTCAAAGTAGGCTTCAGTAGCAACACCAAAGATTTTGATTTAGATGTCAGTTTGGACTTCTTAATGCACTGGGTCAATCTTGAGGTTGGAGAACAATTCTGAGAGGTAGGTGAGGGATCTGTAGTTTGGGCATGGTTTGAATCCACAATCACATGCTGGGGTGGTTGTAAAGATTTTTCCCAGATGAAAGAGCATAGATGTTGGAAGTGAAGTTTAAGCACTGGTTTTGTAAAATTTTTACAGGCCTGGAGAGGTAGGTGAGGGATCTGTAGTTTGGGCATGGTTTGAATCCACAATCACATGCTGGGGTGGTTGTAAAGATTTTTCCCAGATGAAAGAGCATAGATGTTGGAAGTGAAGTTTATGGTTTTGTAATGTAAAATTTTTACAGGAATTAGTCTGATGTGCCTCATCTAAACAGAAGAGGCACTGAGAATGCCCGTCAGATAAAATTATTTTGTTCAGGCAAGACTCACACCATTTGAAGGGACCTGAAGAGGCCATAAAAATGCTCCTGGGTTCTCTTGTCTTCTTTTTTTTTTACTCACAAGTTGGAGGAAGGTCCTATAGAAAGGATCCTAAACTAGGAGTCCTAGCGAACACATGTAAATGCTCTAGAAGTTTCTGAGTCTCTGCACAGGCGCTCTAAAACTCAATTGTGTGCATTCACAGAGACCATGAAGTACTTAATTTTTAGACTGTTTTAGGGCATCACAGATGCAGTGTGCATTCACAGAGACCATGAAGAACTTAATTTTTAGACTGTTTTAGGACATCACAGATGCGCTGCATCACTTATAAAGAAATTTGAAAATTGAAAACTTCCTCCCGGAAACGGGAGGAGACAGAAGATAGTAACAAGGGGATTTCTTTTCTTTTCTTGACTTGTCTTAAAGGATAAGTCAAGAACCTGCCTGCAGCTGAATCAAAAATTTAACTTCTTCTGCCTCTTTGTGGAGCAGATGAAATGTTCAATTTGCCAATATCCTGAAGCTTATTAAGCCAATTCACAATTTGCAAAATTCAAAGCAGAAGCCTCACTTTGGTTCATTCCCAGCAATTGCACATCCTGGAAATGAACAAAGAGCAATCCTACCCAATGAAAAATGTAGAAGCCCCTGACAGGAACCTAGAAAGGTGCAAGTCGGAATGCTCTAGGAAGCAGCTGGTTTGCTCCAGTTATGTTGTGTGATTGCCAGAAAAAGGAGAGAACTACTCCATCCCTACAGCAAACGAAAACCCTGATTGCAGCCTGAGAGACTAAATCTCACACAAACTTTACTCTCAACTCCTCTTGAGTACAGACTTGTCTTATATCCTATAGATATACAGTACGTGTCTTGTGTGAGGTGACCTAACTTAGGAAGTGAATTCCTACAATAGGAACTTCTGATTAAATCTGCTTAGTTTTTCTGATTTAAACTCGCCTAGAGTTCAGACTGTTAAAGCACTCTGTGCACTGAGTCTGCAATCCAAAGGCCACTTCCAAAGAAACAGGGGCTGCTGAAAACAAGTGGGCAAAACACAGACTTCCAGAGGCTCTTGCTGTTGCAAAATTTTGCATTTTGGCTCAAGATGTACAGAGCAGAATTAAAGTCTCTCCAGAGTACGCCACCTATGGTATTTTTGTCTCATCAACTGGTACTTACACTCTCAATAACTCATTCTGAGACACTGGTAAGAGAGAAAAAAAGAATTCAATTTACTTACATTTTTGAACATATGAAAAAACAGCATACTATAAAAGAAGGACTCAGCAGATTTACAGCCTGCTTCAAGCAGAGTCTTGTAACTACATTCTTACTGCGCACTAACTGCCAGCAAAAGACTTAAGCAGAGAGGTGCAGCTCTCTTTGAAATCAGAGGCAGAGAAGAAACAATTGGTTACTGCTGGACTGACTGTCACCCATAGCCAGAAGGGTCCCTCCCAGCCAAACTCACCAGGGGCAGTATGTAAGGTTGAAATAACTCCCAACAGTTGCAACTTCCAGCATTCAGCTAGGACTGGTAAGGGATGACAGTTCATCCTGGAGTGGTACACTTTGCCAACCCTGGCTGTAGACACTGGGACAATGAATAAATCTGCAAAGGCTCCACTGTCAAAACAGCATAACAATACTGTATGAAGTTTCCTTTTCATTACAAAATAAGGCTGCAAGGACTATGGTTATCTGGATCTCTTCTTCTTTGTGTGGAATCAGGAGTCCAAAATCTAAGAGTTTTTTTTCTGTTTTCTAATTAAATTTCTATTTTCCTCACTCTAACTAAATCAACAATCTTCTGATGCTGGTGTACTTAGGAAGCCTAATGGGAATAAGGCCCAGAACCGAAAATACCAAGTAACTTTCCACCAAGGTTTGATTTTAAATACTTGTAGGTACAGTGAATAGGATTAACCATGGCAGGGGAAGGGAGGACCAAATCTCTCCCACATTAATCTCACCAAACGTTGTCCCTCAAGCTACCACATTCTCCTGGAGGAGTCAGAGTCTACTTTTCTGCCAACTTGAGTTTCACTCCTGATTTTCCTCTTTTTTTCAGAAAAAGAAGCACAGGTTACAGATTTTGAGAGCAAATATACTGTCTAGTCCTGGTCCAAGATACACAGTCTGGATTGCTGCCAAAAGACATTTCATATTCTGGTTCAGAGTTAGGCACACTTTCAACTCGTTGATATCTGTGAGCTGAAGGCTATGTGGGATGTAGCTGCAATGCACAATAAATTAAGCTGCATGTTGTTTGAACAGAACACCTCCAAAAACCTTACAAAACATCAATAAAAATAGGTATTATCAATAATAAGCTTTAGAATTATGGAACAGGTGCATATGTTGGTAAACAGGCTTAGGTCAAAACCCTGTGGATACCCTACTTGCTCTGCGCTTGTCCTACAGATCTTAGATAGCTTCTGATCTTGAGATCTACAAAGATTACCTAGAATCTCAGAGCTGACACATTGCAGTGAAATCTTTCCACATGAGTACATAAGTCTGTACCAGCACCCTATTGCTCTTACCATGAGGAAAACTGAGGAAGTCATCACAACAAACAAATGGTGGAGGAGCAGTAGCATCTCCCTTATCTGTTTTCCATTCTCCTAAGCTAGTAAAGGTGCTTGGCAGTTGATGGTCTGGGCTGGTTAGCCACTGGGAGAGCTGAAAAAATGTTGCTGCTTGAAGCACAGGACCGAATAATATACAGCAGGGGTCCCCAACCCCCGGTCCGCGGCCCGGTGCCGGGCCCCGAGGAGCCATCAGCTGGGCCGCAGGGACACAGTGGCGCGGGGACACAGTGGCAGCCATGAAAAAAATGGCGGGAAGGCTATTTGAATTTCCCCAGCTCTTGCCTCCCACCGCTGGGTCCGTCTGTGGTGCTGGCTTTCCAGGCGGGCTCCGGGAGGCAGAGCCCGACTGGAACGCCAGCAGCGTGGACAGACCATGCGGGAGGGGGCGAATGTAAGGACCCACCAGCTCATAAGCCAGGCTCCTTGCCGAGCCTTCCAGGTGCCCCACGTTTTTGTCTCTTTGGGGGTTGGGGTGTGTTCCTTGGGGTTGCGCCTTCTAAAATGCCACCTTCGGAAGCGAGCCTTCCCCCAGGGAGCCACGCCGGCCTCCTTTCTGCGCGCTCAAAACGGGGCGGGGAGGCGGAGAAAAGTCTGGCCACACTTTGGGGGTGAACCCTCGTGCGTGTGTGTCAGGGCAGGCGTTGGGCGCCACCACTCCCTGCCTCGGACCCACTGGCTCATAATCCAGAGTAACGCTGCCTCTTCCCCCTCCCTCCCCCCCGGTCCCTTTCAAAGGTGTATGTCCCTTCATAAGAGCAGGCTGCAAACCGGAGGCTCTTCCCCCTCTGTCCCTGGAGGCAGAGCCCAGCTAGGAGGCCATTTGAATTTCCCCGGCTCCTGCCTCCAGCCGCAGTGTCCGTCCGCGCTGCTCTCTTTCCAGGGGCTTTCCAGGCGGGCTCCGGGAGGCAGAGTCTGGCTGAAAAGCCAGCAGTGCAGACGGACCCATGGGGGTCTAGGGGCAGAGGGGGAAGAGCCTCCGGCTCACAGCATGCTCTAAGAAGGGACAGGATAGGGATGCTGCCCGTCTTCGCTCTCCTGCCCCCTCCTCCAAAGGGGGAGGTCCCGGTAAGGTCCAGGCGCTGGGTCTGTCTGTGCTTCTGGCTTTCTAAGGGCTTCCCAGGAGGGCTCCAAGAGAATTAGATTTTAATTTTCATTTCACTCAGAGGGTGGGGAGGAGCGCACGGGGGGGTGCACGTGTGTGAGTTGGCAGGGGCTCCTGCGCATGCGTGAAGTGGTGGGGAATGCGCGCGCAGCTATGGCATGCGCGCGCTCCCCAAACACTTTGTGCGTGCACCGGAGAGCGCGAGCGCGAGGGGCCGCCCCACCTCCCTCAGAGGCTCCGCCGGTCCGCATGACAAAAAACGTTGAGGACCACTGATATACAGTACTGTATCTCCAAGTTCCAGAGACCAACAGTGATGATGGGATACTACCTTCCACTGTACCTGAGAGCAGCAGACTATCATAAGGGGTGCAGGGCAAGCTGACACACTGCACATAGTTCTTCTTGCTGCTTCCCACCATTTGTCAACCGAGATAACGGTTTCACTCTGTTTCATGGTAGGCCAGCTTTGCATGGCTTGTCCCTCCCCATCATCAAGTCAGCAGCATCACCAGGAAAGGACTGAAGAAATAGCTAGCCAGGCCAACAGACATCATACACTGCTCTACTCCCATGAAACTGATGCTTTCACAGATGCAGTGCTGGAGAATCTGGCAAAGGAGCAAGCAAACTCCAGGCGGAGTAGCAAGCATACAGTGTCGACGTTCTAGGATAGAAATAGCATCTTCTGCTTAGGCCTGTGCTATCAAAGCCAGCCGACTGCTTTCAGAGGGGTGGAGAAGGATGCTGGCCTGCCATCAGTGTTAATAATTACCTGCCAAGTCAACTGACTTCTCTATGTGAAATTGAGGAGAAATGAATGGGGAGGGAGAGTTATCTCGATTTTTCACCTAAGGTAGCAAAATATCTTCAGCTGTTATCACTGTAGAATTCCCACATATTACTGCACTAATTAAGGCCACTAATTATCATTATAGGTAATATTACAAATACTACTAAACTAATAAAAGAAGAGCATGTGCTTTCTTTCTTTCACACCAACCCTATGAGGTAGGGACTTCTAATTAGATAGGCGGGGTATAAATCAAATAAATAAAATAAAATAAATACAGATCTGCTAGGAAAGAGAGCGGCTTAAAGTCCTACAATTGCCTTCCTTGGCTCACTCACACAGGCACTAACTTTATATGCTGGGAACTTCGTACCTTCCCTTTCAAAGAGCTCCAGATCATTCTAGCTCACCACTCGATCTATACTCTCACAACATTACACGGGTTATGCTTGCTGCACCTGTCCAGAATTAGATCTGGATGGGTTTATACGTTGCCCCAAAGATGGATAACTTGAGCGAGTGCACGGTATCACACTTTCCTCCCAGAATTGGGCCTGGAGGCGTCAGAGGTTGTTGGCGTTCAGAACTGCAGCTCCCATCAGCCCTAGCTCGGACGGCCCATGGTAAAGGCTGATGGGAGTTGCAGTCCAGCCGCGTGAAGGCTCACCCGTTCAGTTGAGGGAGAC